TGGTCCCCAGAAGTTGGGGGCTTTAGGAAAACCACCTTCTATCAAAAGACCAAGCAACAAGAGCTTTTAGTGCACTGAGTTTCAGACCTCTTGGTGCAGCAGCGGTCAGTGCAATTCCTACAAGGCAAACTCAGTTATTGCAGAGGGCAGACGGGCCGCTGAGCGCTCGGCCACTGTGGGGTCCCACTTTGCAGCCTGCTGTCAGGAAGCCCGGGATGAAATCAGGGTCAGAGGCTGGAATTTTCTGCCAGAAGCTGCTAGCCCGATTTCTGCTTGCCGGCAATGAATGCGCTTGGGGACTGGAGCCACAGCACGCAGCGCTGGTGTCGGGCTGCCAAGCCGGGTTTGCGCAGTGCCGGGGTGAGGGCGGAGGGGATTTGGTCTGCGGCTGTCATCCCGGCGGGCAGCTGAGGGGAGAGGCAGAGGTGGCTGGGGTGAAACGAGGACGGCTGGATGTCCTGCCAAAAGCCACCTGAGTGACAGCGAGATGTGCGGCCCAGCTGGGGCATGGCAGTGGGATGGGGATGTATTTCGGGGCGGAGGGACCAGCTGGGCTGCGGGTCTCAGTCCACCTCGGTGGCCTCCTTGGGAAGAGGTTGCCTCCAAGCAGCGATGCACCCCGTGGCTCCTGCCCCAGTGGAGCCCAGACTAGTCCAAACCTAGTCTGGGGACTGCTCTCCCCCGCCAGAAGCATTGCTTTCCTCTGCTACACCCTCCCAGCGTGTTTCTGCAGTCTCCCTGACATGTGTTTCGTGTTAGCCACCCCAAAAATCAAGAGCTGGCTGGAAGGTATGTTATCAAATTCAGAGGGAGCATTTCATTTCCCAGTTAGATCTGGGTCTTTTAAACATCTAAGCTCATCTCATTTCAGGGATGAGAACAGAAGAAAACATCTCTTGTTATGTTTGGAGAACATAATTAATTGTCTTTTGGCTTCACAAACCAGCTTTAATAGAGAACATGCAAACTCAAAGTGTTCAAGGAGGTTAAAACCCAGGGTAATGTCCTGCACCATGAGACTTCTGCTGGTGCAGAAGTGTCTTGAAACACACCATCCTCGAGGATGCATTTTCATCTTGGAAATGAAACTGGGAAGTGAAACTAGGTTCATCATTGGCATGGTGGTGGAAGGCTTCCTGCAGGCATGATTTTACATGGCATAGAGATTGCTTAACCGTATCAGCTTTGCATGTGACCGTAGGATAGCTGAGACTGGAAATGTGCAGCACATTTTGCTGTGAAATATGAGTACCAGCTAGCACTCTGCATGCTGCAAACCTCAGCTCTGGGTCACCGTCCCCAAAAGATTCGCTGTGACCAGCATGCCACGTTGCCTTGGGGCTCCTCTCAGGTTTTGTCCTGAGCAAGGGGACGGAGTGGATTTCCATCTCTGGTGCTCCAGGTGGACGTTGATAACCGGGATGACTCTTGTCATGCCCATATGAGAAATAAATGTATCCCACTCACCACGTTTCTCCAGTCTTCAGGCTGTGTGGGAGATAAAAGGAGAGCACCAGAAGTGGAGCTCACGGTGACTGCAGGAGTGGCCCCTCTTTCAAGCTGATGCAGGCAGTGAGATTGTAACATCTTTGCCGTTAAAGGTCAACATGGAAATTCCCACTCTTGGCACATTCCCCATGATGATCTTCAGCCAGTGACTTCTTGCACATTGAGCCAGTGTGGCCGAGGCAGAAAACACATTTCAACATGTTTTTAAATTTTAAGCTCACACCCCACACTTAGTCACCCTCATATATAAGGGCTTTTTTCTTCATCCACTTCAATAAACAAAACCGTTTGCTTTAAGATGCTGTTTCTTAAATTTTCCAGCCGCAGTAGTTTAATAGGATGCATTATTTGGAAATGGCTGTTTCCCTTCCCCGGGACAGTCATTCCAGGCTCAATCTCCAGCCTGCAAGGGCCTGGAAGGAATGTGCAGGCTTTCTAGCCTCCTATACTGGCCTGGCACTGATAGCTTTAAAAACTGAACCATTTAATGAGCAATAACACTTCCAGAGATGGATTTGCAATGGATTCGCATCTTGTGCTGGGCTCTGTGGTGTCCAGGGGGGACCAAGCTAAGGCTGACGATGCAGGGGCTCTGCCCCTCTGCCCAAGAGCAGGGGGGTGGCTCCCACCCAGGTCGGGACCATGGGGTGTTGTGAATGCAATCGGCTTGCTTCTCTTGGACCTCACAGCTCAAATTCAAGCATGAGCACATTTACTAAATGCCATATACACAGAGCCCCAATGCCAGCTGCTTTGGATTCCTTGAAATAGTGCCTGTTTAAGAAAACTGCGATTTATAGCTAATTTGGACACATGCGTTGCCATGGAGGCACCAAACTTGCTGTGTGCAAGAGCCTGATCGCCTGAATTAATTGTGAATAAAAGCCAGCCACCCCATTCGGTTCGGTGGTGAAGCAGAGGGAGCGGGAGGTCCCTGCTCTGCAGCTGCGCCCCGAGCAGCAGCGGTGGTGGATGTAGCTGTGTCCATGGGCTCAAAACCAGAGCTTTGTAGGGAAGGGGCAAACCAAACCTGCCTGTACAGATGTGTCTGGGGAAAGGGCAAGGCTGTCGTCGTGAAGGCAGGCAGAGCAAGGGATTTTTAATCTCCATCAGATGTAGGCAGGGAAGGAGGTCACCTCTAGAGATCTTGTAAACATAACCTCCTCTGTCTAGTAATGTTTGAGTTTGCAGGCTGGATCCAAAGCAAACAGGGAGTGTGCAAAAGAGGCTGTAGGAGTACAACTTGTGATGTGCTGGGACATATGAGATGCCCTGTAAAACAGAAGGTGTTTCCATGAGTTTTGGCAAGGGATATAGCCTGACGGTCCACAGCCTCTCTGGTAATCTTGGAATGATGGGAGAGGCAGGGAGATCAGCGGTTTTGTGCCAGTGAAAGGAGCGTGTATATAATTTATCTTGTCTGAGGCACTTGAGGCTGTTTCCAGTGGGAAAGCTGAGCTGTAATTAGGTGGCTGATGAGCCTCGTATACAAACTCTTCAGCTCTATAAACTATGCCTTCAAAGCCATCCCTTCTCTTAGGGACCAACCAAGGAGGAATTTGAGCAGTATTTCCAGTGAGCTGATGGATGCCTTTCTGAAACCAGATGCTCAGCAGCCAGCCACTCCACTTACCGTCACTGAGAGCCTTTAAGCCTGTTGACTTTCTCAGCCCGTCACTAAACCCCATAGTTGTAAGGGGATGCTTCGGTAGAGGAAAACCCTTACTGGATCAGTTTCTTCATCCATCTTCTCTGCTGTGAGCTGCCCTGAGCTACTCCCTGGGGAGGGTTCAGCTGGTCCCAGCAAACCTTCATGGTACTGGCTGGGATGTAGAGGTCTTCCTTGGACACAGGAGATGGTGCTTGTGGATTTAATATTTTTTTTAAGGATTTTTAAGTTTTTTGGGAGTACTTCCTAAGTAAAGCTGTGAGGAAAGCAGGGTAGGAAAGACCTTATGCAATGGTCAACCTGATAGGTTTTTTGCTGCTAAACTCTGGGTTCAAACCCAGCAAGGAAGCGCTGCTCCATTCCCATCTTCATTTCTCTCGATGTAGACAGAGAAAGAAGAGATTAATTTGTACAAAACACCAGCCAGCCCAGTAAACGTAGAAGCCCTCACAGGAGCCCCCTCTTTTATACCATTTTGAAGGCCGAGCAGTAATACTGATCCCCAGAGCTCAGGGTCCATAGTGAGCAGGGAAGCGTAGAGGAGGAGAAAACTTCTTGCTGAGTGGTGTGGCCTGGAGAAGGCTAGGCTGGAAGTGTGGCTTGGGCCCCTCATTTACTGGCACAGTGGCTGTGCTAGCAAAATCCGATGCCGTAGCAAGACCGAGCAGAAAACTGCCCGCAGTCTGGCTGTGCTGCCTCCTGTCTGGCTCATGCGGTGAGCAGCCAGATCGCATCGACTCTGCCACATCCTCTGGTGCCCTAAAGTATTTGTCTGCCCGGTGCCGTGCCTTTGAGACAGACACATCTGGTTTGAGAAGCAGTATTTCAAAAGCTGCTGCCAGAGACCATTCGTCAGCCTGAATACTTTTGCTACTCCAGTAGCAGTGGAAATCATGCTATTAAACCGCACATAACCCTCCTAGCTTAGTTGGAGCCTTCAGGTGGGCACACGAGTGAAGCTGAGTGATGCTTAGGAAGCATTGGGGACTGAGTGACAGACATGCTGCTCACCTTCTGTGGAGGTGAGAGGTGTAGCGCTCTGCAAAGCCCAGTTACACAGTGCTGGGCACCAGGAGGCAGAGGTGGGGAATATCCACTCTGCGGGTAAGAAAGGCTCATGACAACACACTGCTGAAACATGCTCTCAGGTGTCAATGTTTGCTTGGTGGTGTCAAACACCGAATGGGGGTGAAGCAGGAGGGTGCAAAAGGGCACCCTGAAAAGAGAGGGATACTTGGGAACCCTCATCTGGAGAGAGGAAAATCAGAGTAACAAGTTTGACACCTGGCCGGAGCATGCAATCTCTACCAGCTAATCACGTTTGGGCTCTGCAATAGTAGGTGGTTGTTTCTCACGTGGACCCGCTCATTTTGCTGCCCTCCACCCGCAGAAGGATGACAGTGCTATGCTGAGCAGGGGTCTCAGGGTGGAATTCACCTCCCCCAGCTGCAGGCTGTGTCTGCTCGAAGGGAGCTGCCCTGTTCTCCCCATGGTCACCATCACTGCTGGTACCTCCCAAGGGCAGTTTGTGCCCCTGTCCTGGCCACCTGGTCCCACCTAGGAAGGGAGAGGTGCCCATTTGTCTTGAGCGACTACAGAGGGAAGTTGGAGGAGCTGTGAGTAGGTATTTTTTACTGCTAAATGTAGATAATTATTTGATATCTAGGTGTTTCCCATCGCCGTCTGTTTGAGGCTCTGCCAAATAAGGTCTCTCTGGCAGCTTTTCCTGCTGGGCTGCTGGTCCCTCCTGCGCAGGGGCAGCTGCAGCACCCGGTGCTGGCCCGGGATGCTGCTGACGCCTCCTCCCTGCTCTCGCCTTCAGGCCATGGAGAGTGTCACTGCGGAGAGTGCAAGTGCCACGCCGGTTACATCGGGGACAACTGCAACTGCTCCACTGAGACGGACAGCTGTGTTTCCAGCGACGGGCAGATGTGCAGCGGCAGGGGCACCTGCGTCTGTGGGAAGTGTCAGTGCACTGAGCCGGGGGCTTTTGGAGAGACGTGTGAGAAGTGTCCCACCTGCCCAGGTGTCTGTAGCACTAAGAGGTACTCACGGGGGGGTTCAGGAGGGAATTCTCACTGGTAGGATGGGCTGCTCTTTGGTTCCTGGGAGACTTTTCAGCTAAGGAATTATCCCCGCTTCATTAAACAGGGTTGATTAGCCCTAGGCAAGCGTGCTGCCACTCAGAGCCCATGCTAAGCAACCTGAGAGTATCCCAGGCAGAGAAGCAACAAGTGTTGCTGCCCAAGTCCTCATGGAGGTTCACATCCCCATTCATTTCCAGTGCTGTCCAGCTCTGCAGGAAAGGATGGCAACCCCAGTTTTGCTGCACCCTGAGCTGCAAACATCCAGGCCTAGAGAGCTGCAAGCTGCAGAGGAGGGGAGGACAGGGATGACTGCCTGCCTCACAGCAACAGAGGTGTCCTGGGCATCAGCCTCAGACTGGCGCAGAGCAGCAATGCTGTCTACCTTGATCTCAGGCAGGATGGATTTTGCAGTAGCTGACGTGCAGCTCCTGACATCCAAAGGGCAAATAGACCCAAACCTACCAGCTGTTTTGCACCTTCATTGAATCCACCCCTAGAATAAATCCATCCTTGAGATGGAGATGCTTGGCCCTGAAGTTGCACTTTCCTTGTGGTCCAGATGTGCAGCCTCCAGACCAACACCCAGGGAGTCCCTTTCTGAGGGGTGAATCTCTATGTTCCTGCAGCTTCTGACGGGTGCTTAATCTTCCCTCTGTGTATCTTTCTGCAGGGACTGCATTGAATGCAAGCTGTTTAACTCAGGAAGACTGGCTGATAACCAAACCTGCCAAAAGCACTGCAAGGATGAGATCATCACCACTGTGGATGTTCTCGGTAAGTAGGCAGCAGGAGGACTGCAAATCGTGGGAGCCAGCGACTGTGGCATTGAACTGCTCTTAACCAGACCAAGACATATCTGTAAAGAAAGCCTCAAGGAACACTTAGTATTTAGAAATGTATGCATGTATGTAGTACGTATATGTGGTATGCGTGACCCTCTCTCCAGGCTGTAATCTATATTGAAGTAAAAAACCATTTGATTTTAAAACCACATCTAACCACCACCATCAGTGCAAGGAGCAGAGAGTGGGACGAGATCAGATGAGACAGAAGATTAGATGAGCCATGAGAGAGTGCAAAAGGACAAAGTGTCACCCAAAAAAAGGCATTCTCTAATCTTCTGGGGATTCATCTTGAAAGAAGTGAGCTTTTAAGAGAAAGCAAAGCTGTTTTGGAGACAATGAGTTCTGCTTTGTGGAACTGACTGCTAAAAGTCCCCCTGGCAAGCTCCTCTCCTGCTCTTTGTATCCTCTTCTAGAGGTCACCCCACACATGCATCCCTCAGCAGATGACTTTATCCCCCTTATTTTCAAGCTCCATTCTAGGAGTCCCTGTTTGCTATTTAGGGGAGTAGAGGGGATCCAAACTTGCGACGGCTTTAATTGCAATCCTGACCCTGGCCTTAGCAATATCCCTTGGAGGGAGGGATGGAGATCAAGCAGGGATAAATTACTGTCCACATCTGACATTTCCTTCTCTTCCCATAGTTTATAGAGGTAGGAGTGCTCTACCTTGCTCGCCCTTTCTCTCCCTTCCTCTCGAGCTGCCTGCAAGCAATGTTTTTCCCATTGACTCTTCTCACATCCAGTGTCTAGCTTTTAAATTATGACCAGTGGGGTTTCCTACCTTCCCCTTTGGGAGACTTGCTCTTGTTCTCTCCATCCTCCCTGCAGTTTACCGGGGAGTGCACCTACACCAGCACACTGCAAGAGGTTACAAGGCACTTCCAAACCACACAAAGCTCCTTTCTGATGCCTGGCTGGCCTGTGTTTCTTAGAAGCCAGCAAATACTGGGGATTAAAGCTCAACTCTCCTGCCTGGCTGTTGCACCATGCCAAAGCCAGCTTTTGTGCTGACTGCACTGTGGGAGGTGAGGCTGGGCTGCGGTTTGCCAACCCCCCGCATGGTTTTCAGAGAAAAACACAGCCAAATTTCTGTTTTAAGACATTTTGGGGAATTACGCTTATTCTTCTGTTGAACAACTGCAGTCAGATGGGTGGGTGGTGCTAAGCTCTTGGGAGCTCAGGGCGCTCTGCAGCTTGGAGATCTGGGCTGCTAGAGAAAGAGTTAAAGCAAAATATTCCTAGAGAAAGTGCTTGGGGACTATGGACTTCTTCACAGGCAGACTCAGCCAAATCCTGGTCTTCAAGCGCTTTTGTGTTATGTAGCACATGTTAAAAGTCGCTGCTGAGAGGCCGAACACCGATATTTGTCACAGAAGACATAGGTCTGCATTGTCCTGGCAGTGGAGGATGGGACTTCCTTAAATATTGAGTTGGAATGAACACACCCTGGAAGATCCCAAGTGCCTTTTGGCTCTGGGTATGAAGCAGCCAGTGCTTCAAAGCTTTGTAGAGCAGAGGCACCTATCGTTGGACTCATGAGCCAGAATGATGCCTTGTGGGAGGCTTATATGACTTGCATTGGACTCTGCAGGATCTCCTTCGCTTCTGCAATATTGCGTTTCCATTCCTGATGGTTCCAGAGAGGAGCTTTCAACACGAGAGGAACATGACAGGTCCAGCACTGAGCTGAACCTGCCAACAGTACACATCAGTGGACCTCAACACTCAGTGGGGCCATCACACCTCTCTCTGTGGACGTGTGATCTCTGAAACCTAGTGAAGACTAACAGAGATCATTACTATCGAGACTTTAATCACTGTATCTTTTAGCAGATTAATGGTGCAAGGACAGGATTGAAAGCAGCTGGGCCTGGAGGAACTAAGATTTGCTGCTCAACTCAGAAGGGCGTTAGTCAAGAAACATGGAAGTTTTATCTATGTTAATCTAATTAGTACTTTGCTTTGTAACAGTCAGCACTTCTCCAGCCCTGCTTTGATTCCACTGTGTAGGTAGAGCAGGTTTTCCCGTCCTAAGGTAGGAACAGCTGAGGTTTGTCCACACCAGGAACCTCATCAGGACTCCCCAGAGGGGCAGTTCCATCTGGGCTCAGAGCTGTTGAAATGGAGGGTATTAATCTTTCGACTGAAAGCAGGTCAAAGGCATTGAAAGGAAAGACAAACAGACAGGAGAGAGATAAGGGGCTGGAATAGCAGTGGTCATTAACGCGATCATTTTTCAGTGTGACAGACAGGCACGGATACGAGTGAGGAGGAGAGCCGTGGGAAGCATTTTCCAAGTGCCTAAGCCAAGGTCACGTCTTTGCCAGCCAATAGCACCAGGTGCCCATATCCCTTCCTCTCCCGTGAAACTCTCAGCCCATGCAGGCCTACAGAGATGTGCTCCTGCAGAGGTACCTGGCATGGACGGAGATGTTGCCCCATCTCCCTCCAGGCTCTGTCCCTGCAGCAGGGACACCCCATGAGCTGTGGCCATGCAGGGCGGTGGCTCTGCTGAAATCACTGCTGAAGCTAGAGCTGCAAACCTCAGATGATGGCTTTGCTGAAATTTTGGAATGGCTTTTGTGAAGCAGCTTTCCTCAGGAAGCTTCTTATAGTGACCAGAGCAGCGACAGGCTCTGCCTGGTGCTACAGTATGTTAAACAGGCAAACAAACAGCACCCGTATGGCCATGGGAATCAAGTAGTCTCATTTCTTGCAACTCCCCCATCTCCGCATCCTCCCCTCCAACCAGCTCCTCCCTTCCCCCTCCCTCCCTCCTCCCCTCCCCATTTTTCTCTTCTATCTCACTCTTTAAAAACAAACTTCTCAACTGTTTCCGGAGCTGGAGTCATTCAGCACAGCTGGAGCACGAGCCAGCCATGGGCTGCTGCTGCTGCTGGCCCCGTCTGTGTCCTCGCAGGCTGAGTCTGTGCCCCTCGCTTCCTCTTCAGCTTCCACTCTTCAAGACATTTAGCAAATTAAGAAGAAAATGGCATTTATTGCCAAAGCAGACTTGTGCGAAGGAAGAGTATGTGTATGTGTGAAGTTGCATCTGTTTGCCATGCAGCGTTTGCCGAGTGCCACATTTTCTCAAGCAGTAAGTCTGGGCGCTGCTCAGTTACAGTTTGCACAAATTGTGGTCAAACTGTGCTGCTTTCCAGGCTCGGTCCCCGTTCCTCCACTCCCTGGCACCCGTGGGAAGCCCTGCTCAGCTTGCAGAGGAGAATTGTGCTAATTCCTAATATTAAACCTGCCAACTAAGTCAACCAAGTGCCATACTGCAGCTTTAGACATACCCTGTTAGAAAGGGGGCCTAGGTCAAAATCAGGGGAATACACGGCATCGCAAATTGTTGGGAGGGGATTAGCTTAATAAGAAGAAGGTGTTGGAAGCATTTGTGTAAGAAATTAGGATACAAGAGTTCTGCAGTCTTTAGGAATTTTTTTTCATATAAAAAACAAAATAAAACTCTGTGACTCTGCATCTCATTCCAGACACGGATGACCCGAACGCGATCCTCTGCGCCTACCCAGTGAACAACTGTGTCATGAAGTTCACCTACTTGGAGCTTGCCAGTGGGAAATCCAACCTCACCATCCTCAAAGAGCCAGGTTGGCCCTCCCTTGGGTTTCCTTTTAATAGCACAGGCTGCCTCGTGAGAGGTGACAGCCTGCTGGTGGGCAGAAAGGCTGGTTTCACGGCCTGCACGAAGGCATGTGCAAGCAGATGAACCAGGGTGATTTAAAAAAATTAGGTGTGTTACAGTGCTGAAACCCAGCTCCAAATGCTCCCAACTCAGTAAAAAAGGACTCCGACCAAGAATGAAACATGCACCTGAGCCACCAGCATTGCTAGCAAGCGGCTGAAGGGCTTCCTGCCAGCTCAGGATGCTGAAATTAAACCCAGTCTATTTACGTTGCAAAATGCATGCCATGTACTGATTTGGTGATATAGCCACTGTGAGCAAAAAAAATCAGAAGGGGACACCTGGTGCTGCTGCTGTTTAAGTCGGGTTGTTAGGAAATCCCCACACCACCTATGGATTCCTGCGTTTCCAAAGAGCTCTGGTCCAGGCAGCGTAAGGGCTGTGTGTCCCTGCTCCCCTCCCCAGGCTGCTGCAGACAGCTGTGCTTCCCAGCATTATTTTAATCACATGCAATGCAGTTTCTCAAAGAAAACCCCACATGGTGTTGTAGGACAAGCTGGCGAGCACCCAGAAGTAGCTTCTCGTGATCTGCTCTGGTCCTCCGAGGCACAGGCTAATATGGGAAAGACTGAGATACTGCTCGTTTTATTTTATTTGTGCTGCGACTTGCACTTAATTGAAAGACCAGTTGATTAGCTGACAGTTAATGTACTTATTTAAAGTGCCTAGTGATCACCTGTCTCCATGTGGGCCAGAAGCTGAGCTGGCTTTCGCCAGAGGCACCTTAACCCTCTGTGTCCCACGTGGGTCACCCGGCATTAAAACCAGGTGTCACTGTTGGACGGTGGCACTGCAGCACTGCTCTTCCCCCGAAGCGCTACGTGACATCCCGGCTCCGGTGACGTCCATGAGAGCTGTGCCTTTGACCTGCCTCTAGCCAGGAATTTATTTAATAAAAAAAAACTCCCTTTGGTTTCAGAGAGGACTGTTGCTTTTTTTAATTTAGTCACTGCTTCTAGCGCTGCCCTGAGGTCACTTGCTCAGTGGCTGCAGTCCAGATCATTACATCCCAGTATCCTGATCCGGGATACACTCGCACCAGAGCTAATTACCTTCTCCCCCTTGTTACCAGCGTGCAGCTCAGCCCCCAGCGCTGTGACGATCGTGCTGGCGGTGATCGGCAGCGTGGTGCTGATCGGCATCATCCTGCTGGGGCTCTGGAAGCTGCTCGTCACCATTCACGACAGACGGGAGTTTGACCGATTCCAGAGCGAACGCTCCCGGGCCAGATATGAAATGGTGAGCTCGGGGCGGGGGTGCTGCTGGCGTATGGGGGGGGGGACTATTGGGATGCACTGGCAGCAAACAGCTCTGCAGCAATGGAGATGGGTGGGAGGCACGAGGGATGCAGGTCTCCGTGCCCTGTGGTGCCACACAGCAGGGCTTCAGGGTCCGGCACGTGACACTGCCCTTCCCCTTGGCAAGTTACAAATACTCTGCAAAATTATACCCAGCCTTTGGTTTCATCACGTATTTCCCAGCAGTGCTGGAGGATTGAAGGAGGTGGGGGAGTGGGGACCAAGCTCCGACTGTGGTGGCAGCCAGGTTGGTCAGGTCTACGAAGGAGCCCTTCTGGGAGGCTTTAGGTGGGGTTGTCCAGCATTTGAGGGCATTACCTGTGCCTGCAGACGGGACAGAAGGTGGGTCTGATGGATGAACTATGGACAAACAACACTGCTTTTGGATCCGAATGCACATTTCAGTCAAAACCAAATGCAGCGGTATCTCCGAATCAATTGGCACAGGAAGGGGGGATTATGCTCATTTTCACCATGGCATGGACTTTGTTCCTCACCTTTGTTCTTTTTGTCTGCTCATTTCTCCAAAGGCATCCAATCCTCTCTACCGAAAGCCTATTTCCACGCATAACATAGAGTTCACGTTCAACAAGCTCAACAAGTCTTACAATGGTACAGTTGACTGATGGGTTCTGGGCACCTGGGACTGCTGTGGACAATTGCTTGACTCTATGTGCTGCTTCCCCACTTGAAGATGGGATCCTCTTCAGGGGCGAGAATCCCTTACAACAGGACTGGTCGATGACCAAAGCCTGTTATTTGCACAGTAAGGAGAAAAGTCTGGTTCATTCTGGAGGCACGGACGCGAAGGCAAGGCTCCCCGCCTGTGCTGATGGACTCCGAGCCGTGTGTGACTCCATACCCCAGCTTTCTGGATATATTAAACCTGCCAACTAAGTCAACCAAGTGCCATATTGCAGCTTTAGACATACCCCGTTAGAAAGGATGGCTAGGTCAAAAATCAGGGGAACCCACGCCATCTCAAGTTGTTAGGGGGGAATTAGCTTAAAAAGAAGAGGGTGTTGGAAGCATTTGTGTAAGAAATTAGGATACAAGAGTTCTGCAGTCTTTAGGAATTTTTTTTATATAAAAAACAAAATAAAACTATTGTGCATATATGATGCTGTGAGTAAAGTTCATTGTTTCCTTGCTGAACCCCCCACCAAAACAGGGGCTTGCTCCTGCCTGACTGATTTATTAATAGAGCTTTATCGGTCAAAGCATGGGTATAAAAATAGGAGCCGGAGCCGCAGTGACTGCCGCAGAAGGTATGTTGATTTAATACCCTGGTGTTGACCCAGGGCAGGGAGTGCCACAGGGAGCTCCCACTCTGTGCCGGCAGTGTTAAACAGACAGGAAACTGGTGGGAGCCCAGGGAAATGGGAGTTTAGGCTGAGGAAACTAAGCTAAACACCCATTCCTTGGGGTGTGCAAGTAGGCGTCCGGCCTGGGTGCCTGCAGGAGGGCAGCTGGGAGCACACAGCAGCTCACCCAGACCTCTGACTTTTTACTACAGGACCAGAGCTGTGGGGTCCAGCAAAGCCCGGCTGGAAAAGCAGGGGAGCCCTGAGCTTTTGGCTGGAAAGGGAGCTGGATAAAACCCAGTGTTGTTGCTTCACAAGATACATTTTGCTTTGGTTTTGTGGGTTTTTTCCCCAAAAAAACTGTTCCCCTAGCTCCATCTGTTTTCCTCTGGAGCTGGGGTTTGGGTTACCCTGGCTGACAGCTGCAGCTTTAAACCCACACAGACTGCAGCAGGGCTGCAGCCGCTGGCAGGAGAAACCGGAGCAATTGCTACTGCCTGCTTTTTTTTTTCTTTTTCCTTTTTTTCTTGTCTCTTCGCCCTGAACACATCATGCAATAGTCAGCTGAAGGAAGCTTGCCAGGGAAAAGCAAAAACAAATGGTGTTCATTGTTTTGACTTGCTTTTCTCATTGGAAAAGGGCCATGGGCCCATCCTTCCGGATTTATTTTTTTTTTATTATTTGTTTTTGCCTCTATAAACAGAAGCTCTTATTTGCTCAGTATAACCAGCTCTCCTTCGAGAAGTTTATGGTCCCCCCTCTTCCTACCAGCAGTACTGAAGAAACGCAGCAGACCACACCAAAAATAGCTCGGAACAGGGATTTTTAGGAGTGCAGCAAGTGGCACACTGGCAGCATCAACGCTGATCGGGGGCAGTAAAAAACCCAAGACCCCAAATAAATTAAATCTGTGCTCTGTCTTCCCACTTGATTCCACTAAATCTGCCCTAGTAGGGGAGGAGGGTGCATACATCCTGAAAACAAGTGCAAGGGCAGGCTCTGATTAAATGCTGGTACTGCCTTCGTGTAACCCACCTGTGCGTGGGCTGGGGGCTGCGCTGCCTCCTCCCCGCAGCGCCACGAGCCATAGGACAGGCCTGAGCGCTGCAGAGGGGCAGCTCTTCAGAGCTCCACATTTCCTACACAATACTGAAGCTCAGGCTAAGGTTTGCAGGCTGAGATGTCTTGTATCGAATACCTGGGACTAACACTGCCGCCTGGGAAGGAGCATCCGTGGGGCAAATTCAGTTTTCATGGCCATCGTGCCTAGTGCCACGCTGGCAAGATAGATTTCATCACCCTCACAAAAGAAAAATAGAAAACAGTCAAAGAATAATCATCACAAGTAGACCAAGCAAATGTTAGCTTGGTTCATGTGACTGCCTCATACAAGCCGTACTGCTCCAGGCATGGAAAGGGGGAGCAGGAAGGAAAGTGGAGGGAAAGGAGGGGCAGGAACGTTTTAAACCTGCTTTGCCACCCAAAGCAGCAAACACCGAATACAGCTCTGCTGCAGTTAATTTGCAAGGGACCAAGCAGTTTAAAAACAAAACCAACCCCTTTGCTTTCTTGCTTTGCACTCGGAAAGGAAAGGCACAGGCAATGCCCGTCTACCCGCGCCTTTCCCTTGCAGATTACCTTTACGCTTTGGCATTTCCCAGCATGCTGGGTTAGTGCTGAGAGACCGGACAATCAAGGCAGCCTTAGGAAGCTGAAGTTTGACTCATTGCTAAGGGGTGGTTTGGGTAGGGAGCGTGCAGAGGAGGAGAGAAAGGGCCTGGGGACAGGACTGCAAGTGCCCTCCTTCCCTTGCAAGGGGAGACTCAGCTGCATAACAAACTGGTCTGCAGAGTAGCCAGGGAGTAATGTGGCAAGCGAGTAGGTGAGGAAAGGGTGCCACAAGCCAGGCACCCAAGAAAGTACCACAGAAACTTTATATAAATAAATAAAATACAATATCTTGTTTCTAATTTTTATAGGCTCTGCCCCCCCAAATTTAGCTTCTCCACAAGGTTGCATCTAAAAAAAGAAAAGAAGGAAGTGATGCTAAGAGCAAGAAGGCTTTGCTTTACTGTGTAAGCGGATCTGCCTTTACCCTTGCAAGGTTAGTGCCAAGCGCAGTCATGGGAATGGTGTATTTCAGTCAGCAGCAGTTTATTTGTGTCTGTAAATACGGGCAGCCTGACCACAGCTAGCATTCCTGAATGAAAACTCCAGCAGAAGGCATCAACGGGTAGCACGTGATGGAAAAATGTCAGCGCTTGTCTGGCCAAGCTGGAATCCGGATGCCATTGCAACATCAACTCCTCCCGCTCCCCCAGCCACAGCTGGAGGCTGCTGCTGCGCGGCCACTGGGGCTGGGGCTCACCAGCTCATTTTTCCCTGTGCTGCTGGTGTTTCTGGGGGGAGAGCATCACATCTCGCCTTGGGAAAAGTCAAGGCCAATGGCAGCATTATTTGCTTCATGAATTGTGAAGGTGCATTATAACCCTTTGCTGTAACACAAGCCAGAGTGAGGCATGCCCACTTTGCATCCTCTTTGCCCTGTACAGTGGAGTGAGAAGGTGCTCAGCAGCTGAAGGCTAAGCCCAAGCTCTGGAAGATGAATGCCTCACACTCTTCAACCTGTTTAACCTTGCATTTCTCCAGCCACGTGGAAAGCGAAGGAGCTAGTGTATTAAGGAGAGGGTCACTAAGATTCCTGGAAAGAAATCGGAAGGCGAGATAACTGACTACATCTGCAGCCCAGCAGCATCTCTGTATCTGAACACACTTTGAACTGGAATGGACTGTTGCTCCTCTACCTCCTCTTCACTGCCAGCCTGCAAAAAGCCAAAACAATACAATACAATAGAGACACAGGGTTTGATTTCATCCTATCCTTTTCTCCACGCCCACTAGTTAGTGCTGGTACTGGATACAGCCCAACAGAAACTCCTCCATTCAACTGTCACGACCCAGAAGGGTTACCCAGCCTGTGGGTGGGCAAAGGTTGCAACTGTGCGTTTGCAGGACTCCGTCATGCACAAGGACAGGGAGGATTAGTTTCCTAAATTACTTTATTGCATTTTACTACAGGTCATCACTATCAAGGCAAGTACATTTATGATTAGTATATCTATACTGCAAATTACTACCAGAAAGCAAATACATATTTCAACAGCAGAACAATCAATATTAGTAGCAGGTCTATATTTTAATATTACAAGTTACTACAGAATTACCACTAGTAAAGCAGCAAATATCAGAAATATCAGGAATTACTTATATGCATGCATATATAAATATATATATATATATATATATAAAAAAATAAAATGTTACCAGTACCATGTACTCATCAAACCCATCCCAGAAGTGGGGCCGTTTGGACAAAGTCTCATTTGGTCAATGATCCGCATCACGGAGCCCAGAGTCAGCCCAGCATCCCTGGCAAGGGTCCACTCTGCCAAGGAAACGTCGTGGGGAACAGGAGTTCGTGCACAGGCACTTCTCAGAGAAAGAGGCTCCATTTCGGGTAAAAAGTAAGTCCTTTTTATATCACAGAGACATAAGAGGTTGAAGGACACCACCACCTGGAGCAGCCAATAGATGCTGCAAATTTCTATTTTTCACCTGGCACAGTCAATATATGATGATGTTGTCTATTCTCTCGGACAAATTTTTGTATTTCCAGACTGTTTTTCTGTTCTGTCAGCTAGAACAGCCAATGGCAGTTACTGACTCTTCCTTTCTCAGGATGTTTTCCCCCTTTTCCAGATCTTTTTTTCACCATTCCAGATGATAAGTTGCTGTTACAGTTCCTTGTTTTTGCACTCTGCATTGATAGTATCTCAGGCTGTCTCTGATTTCTTGGTACCCAGCTGCACTTCAGAGATGCCAGCTGTGCTCCTCAAGGATGCTTCTGCTTCCCAGGCTGGCAGGCACTTTCTCTGTCAGTATTTGAGCAGATATCTTCTTCTGTTCAGTATTTTCCCCCTTATAACCAGGTCACCTTTGTGGCTGCTCCTATCACTCCACCCCTTGGCCTACGACCACTGATGGGTCACTAGGAGTGAGACTACACCCCATCTGGTGCGTCTCTCTTGCCTCCTAATGCGTGAGGCGGAGGAGACCCATGTCCATGTCAGGCCCAATGTTGTTGCAGCTCCTGAGAGGTTTTGATGGTTGAGGCACGAGTATACAGTACCGGCTTGGACAAAAGTGATACAGACAGTGCTTTGATATGAGATACACTACAGAAAAGCTCAAATCCTACAGCTAGGATGAGAGCTGATGGCATTGAGAAGTGCCATGCTCATGCTCCGGGGTCTGGCAGCCAAGACGATGGCCACAACTGGCCAGCTGGCTAGCCCCCGGGCAGGGGCTGCTCTTGGGCTGTTTGGTGAGTGTGTTGCTGAATAACATTCACTTCATATTCGATGTGTTTGACTTTCTTAGCATAGAAGCAACGGTTAGTATTCATGAACAGACAAATACCCCTTTGCGAGCCTAAAAAATAATCCAAGGCCCAGCGATTTTGGGTAGCTGTGATGGATGCCCCCACTCTGAGTGAGTGAGCAGTACCTTGGTTCAGGCATCACCGACAAGCAGCCCTGACTGAAATCAGCCCTGCCGTGCAAACCGTGAGATCTGTGCTAGGCCACATCTTCTCAGAGACTAAGGCATCTAGGCCACATCTTGTCAGGACTAACAGCACCAGCCCGAGCTGGGACTAGGCAAAACTAAAACTGCTACCGCTGCACACCTGCACATACACCAAGGGGACACCAGTCCATCACTTTACGCTGTAGGTATCTGTAGCCCCCCGAG